TTATGTCTACAACAAGTATTAAAAATTATTTAAGCATTTTACTTTGTATTGATAAAGATAAATCATATGAAAAAATTATTATAGAAGGAAAGGTATATTACATTATATATTACAAAGACCTTAATAATGAAAGAATAGAATACAGAATTACACCTGTGGATCTTATATGTGATTTAATTAAATACAATGATAAACTAATGAGACCAAGTTCATTTAGATCTGAAGGTAATAATCTTTATATAGATTGTAGAAAATACGAAATATATAAAGATATTGTAAGTAATGATAGTTTATTACTTAATAAGTACAAGGCATTTCAAAGATCTTACTTTAAGAAAAATTCCAATAAGAAAAAATTGAATTTTGATAATAAAAGTATACAAAGTGATGGTAGTTGTATTTTTAGTGAAAGTTTTCCATCAGATAAATTAAGTGAGAGCGACTGTGATCAATCGGTAATATTACAACCCCTACTCGCAAATTTAAGTAATTCATACAAAAACATATCTAAAGGATATGAACAAATGTCTAAAACGAAATTTAGTGAGATTGAATTAAAAGATCATTTAAGTTTTATATTTATGATGATTTATCAGTTTATTATGATCTTGTTATTTACATGTGGAGTCTTGCTTTTTAGGATAATTGAAATCATTGACGGGTTTATTACTAAAGAGGAAATAAAAAAAGAACTCATAACTAATTCCAATGAGAGTAATAAGGTTGATTTTAATGAGAGTAATAAGGTTGTTTCTAATGAGAGTAAGAAGGTAGATTCTAATGAGAGTAATAAGGTAGATTCTAATGAGAGTAATAAGGTAGATTCTAATGAAAGTAATAAGGTTGATTCTAATGAGAGTAAGAAGGTAGATTCTAATGAGAGTAATAAGGTAGACTCTAATGAGAATAAAAAGGTAGATTCTAATGAAAGTAATGTAGAAGAAAACTCTTTAAAGCCTAATAACACATCAAGTACTAACAAATCACCTCATGTTTCTAGTAAAGAAATTAAAAAACCTGTTATAATTGATAATCATGATTTGCTTCTTAATAAAACTAATGATATGGTAAATCCTCAATAAAATATTATTTATAATTAATATACTTTATTTATTTAAAGTTTTATAAAGAATATTTTTTGTAAAATTTTGTAGTAGATATTGATTTTATTAAAAATACTTTTTTCTATTAAAAAGCACGTATAAAACATTAAAACATTATAATTTTATTCAATAATATAAATTTAACAAATGAAACAATGTAAATGATGTTTTAAAAAATTATAATTGAAAATAAACTTTTCTTTGTATATTTATCAATAAAATATGAAAACAATATACAATCTAAAATACTAATCTGTATAAATAATACTTAAAAATATAAAAACTAAAAATTATATTACCTAATCTATTACTAATATGGAGTAAATATTTATAAAATTTATATTAACATAATTTATAGTGTTTTAGAACAATCACTTTTATGAATGGTATACTAAAAGAAAAACCAATATATTTTACCTTTCTAAAAATTTCTGTAAATTTTATATTAACATCATTAATTCAATTATGATTCAAATAACTTAATTTTTAAAGAACAAATTTACAGTCTTTAGAAAGTTCTAAAAAAAATTTTCTTCTTACGTCATATATTAATATATTGTTTTAATGAACGGTTAAAAAAAATTTATAACAAATTGTATAACAAATTTAAATTATTTATATAAAATATTTATATATGTTAAAAAAATTAATATAATTGTAAGTAGCAAGTATAAATTAAAACAATGTGTAAATATAGTTTATTTTCTTAAATGTATTTTGAAGTAGATGAAAAAAATGTGGAAATTTTTTAAATAACTTTATAAATAAATGAATAAAAAGTTTTTTTATTTTTTAAATCAATTAAAAAAACATTTTTTATGAATTAAGTTTCTATTTCTTTAGAATTCAAAATAGTTACTTATTTTTTAATTGGTTATATTCAAAACAAAATAAAAAATAATTACTTTATTAACTTTATTATTGTTTGTTTATAAACAATAGATAACATAAGATAATAAAAAATTTGATAAATAAACATTGATAGAATAAAAAAATTTTAAATAATTTAAAAAATAATATGAACAAATATCTAAAATGTATAATTTATTTTTAAAAAAAAACTTGTTGTAAAATTATAAGTAATTAAAAAATGAAAATGCTTTTTTACATTCTAGTATATTGTAAATTAAGTCATTTGGTATATCTATAAATTTAATTAGATTTAAAACGTTACTTATTATATCTTGATAATTCATTCAATATGCTAAAATTTTTCAAACTTTTATATTTTATAGAACATGTATCTATAAACATTAAAAAACATATAAATAATTTACACTAATTATATTGCAAAGAACTACAGCGGAATAATATTTATTAAAAATATTACTATGATTAAAATATTTATATATTAAAAAAATTAAAAAGAAATAGAGATTTGTAATAAAAAGTATAATTTAAATAATTAAATTTTAATTAATTGATAAATATTAAAACTATAGAAATAAATGATACTTATAGCAATTAAAATGATTGAATAAGTAAATTATAAATTAAAAAGAATTTTTAAAATTTTTAAAAAAAATAATTTCAGACAGATAGAATTCAAAACATATATTTGTCTAGTAGTAGACTGCTGTTATAGCATCGCGCAAA